CATCATGCAAAACCTAATGTGTATGGCCTCCATTAGGAAAAACTTGTTTAGGTAGGAATCATGAATAAAATAAAAACAATAGTTTTGCTTCTTATTATTTATTGACTATTTTTCACAAAATTGTATCATATTGTATTTATTTGTTTAACACATGTAGGTATATTGTGTAAATATGCAGCGTGAATGTGTATCAGGTGCTCTTGAATAATTTGGCAGTATGATCCTCTCAGGATGTTGGGCACAGGTTCACTAGCACTTGGTAATAAGGTCTCTGCACTTTGGTAACATCGATGACATATTAGATAGCCGAAATAGTAATAGTTAAATTAAAGGAAAAAAATCACAAATAAACACACACAACTGGTAATCCGAACGAGAATTTTCCGTATATAAAAAGTACTCTTTGACGAGAATGCACGAATGCCACAGATTACAACGAATGCAAACTGCCTGCACCGCAACCACAGAGTATCGAGTTTATGCCGGCCCTTCACTTGACAACAGTTTGTCCTTGTCATGCTTAATAAGGAATGAAAAGGACAGACTGGTGTCATGTTTTTAAATAGCAAATACGAATAGCCAAGTGAAGTGCCGGCATGAGGAAGAAAGTGTTTTTTGTTTGCAGGGCTGTCATAGATTATACACATAAAATGGTATTTATTGTCTCAGATTATTTATTAACTTTTTAATTTAGCTTACTTAACTGGAAGTGTCCGTCACAATCTAAATACTGATAATTATCGCAAAAAATATACTAAGAATTATCATAAATGCCAAATTGGTGTTGGTTCTTAGGCCAATTTTAACCTTTATTATTTTTTTTAATTCACGCGTTTTAATGTCACATTTATAATTGGTATGCGTGCTTACAAACTGCCGAAAGTATCGCGCATACCAAATTTTAACTCTTCGCTTTTTAACGGTTTCTATATTTCTGTAAAGTGTGAGTACGGCAGATTTTTGGTTCAAATTGAAACCTTGCATGAGTTCGTCTCTTTCTATTCCCTACGAATTTATGTATGCGCGATACTTTCGGCAGTTTGTAAGCACGCATACCAAGATAATTATAAATGTGACATTAAAACGCGTGAATTAAAAAAAATAATAAAGGTTTCCGTGATGATGGATAAATTTCACCCCTTATCACACCATTCAAATAGGTATGCGTGACCTTTCCGACTTTAAATCATTGGTCGGCCGGATTTTTTCTTGTTGAACATAATATTTCACAAAAATTCTATATAAGATTGATCAAAATCCGTGATGACGGAAAAAAATATGGAAATTTAATAATGAATAATTTAATTAAAATATTTACGGCCAATCAAATCCACGCAAACCAAGCAAATCTTGTTCGTCTAAACGTTAATTTTTATTTTTTATTAAAAATATTAGAATCCGTGATCACGGAGCTTTCAGGATTGGCGGCTCCCGGACTAATATGTCTAAACATATTTTTAAGGTCTTAAGTCGTTGTATATTTAAATAAATAGATTTCATATCTTTTAGTAGTAAAATAAAATTTCCATGGTTATGAAGTATTATTTACCTTCATTTATTGTATTTATTTAAAATACGAAATCAACGTTTCAGGCTTCAAGCTTGCGTATACTATGTAATATTAAGTGTATTTAATTAGATTTATTATTTTAATTATTTATCATTGCTTGTTAGCATTCGATAAATTCAAGGATTTGTTTTCGTTTAAATTGGGTCAATCTGTTGTAGTGATACCGTAACTAGTATTTAATTTTTTTTTACTTTGATCAACAATACTACTAGTCAACGATATTAAATATTATGGTATTTAATATCGTTGATACTAGAAGTAAGTATGTAGTAGGTTAAGGTACCAGGTATTTTATTATGTCGCCACAAATTTTTCATTTATCTTTAGCACGTCGCATTTCATTTTTATACTTGTTATTGAAAAATCAGACCCTATCAACAAGCTTTGAAAATTATTAAGGTATATACTTATGCGAAGATATATGCTTCAACCAACAGCGAGGAAAATTAGCTAGCTTTGTTTGTTTATTTATTTATTTGTTTTTTTCAGTAAGCACACAAAACGGATTAAAAGAAAAAACAACAATAATATGGACATTTTGCACAAAATACTTAATAGCAAGACATCCTAAGTATGTGTAGCATGATTGAGAACTTAACAGACAAAAAACATAAAATCCATTTATATTTACTTCAAAAGTTTATACAAATACTTAATTTAGATTGCATCGTTATTTATAAATTTTATTTTGTGAACATGAAGCAGTTTTACACATTGGAAACACGTTCTCCCCAATCAAGGATTCTTGTGAAATATTAATGTTATCCACTAATAAAATACTAAAGTTAGTGTCCAATATAAGATGTTTCGGTGTCGTTGGACTTTAATGTTGTACTTTTATGGAACACTGACGCAATGCAACCAATATCGAAGGTGTTATGGGTTACGAAACAGTTTTACTGTTGATGCCATTGTCACGGCTTATCTTTGGCGGTTGGTGTAACGAATGACTTTACTAGCTTAATTTTTTAGCGTCTTGGAATTGTCCACACGAACCCTTTTTTTCGGTGTTATTGCTACGCTTAAACTATGACTTTGCCATGTGCCTCTTTTAACTCGGGAATTTTCAAATTTGGGCGTTTGGGTCACAGTTTGGAAAAACACTAGTAAAGCTCTTTTAAAGCGCAGATATTGCAAGTAGAAGAAACGCTTGTGTGAACGATGATTTTGAATTTTAAATTAAAATGGTTTATCCCAAAGTACGGCGATAGTAGTCATCTAAAAAGTCTATGCATAAACCATTATCTTAAACGAAGTTTTGAGTTAAAGTAGCCCTTTTATTATGAGAAAAACAATTAATTAAAATGAATTGATTACGCAGTGGTTTTATGTTTGAATATTTTTGTTTGTTTAATATCTAGATAATAATATCAGGTTTGATAAATCAAGGTACTACTTATCAATCAATGTGCAATAGTTAAGTGGTTGTTGGTATGTCTTGCTTGACTGAACTTTTCACGTGCTGCTATTTACTTCCATAATATGGAAGGACAAGATACCTACATAGTAAAAATATAAAGTTCGATCTCCACTTTTGAATTTCGAGATTTCAATCCAACATATCTTTAAAATTTTCACAACGTAGTAAAGAGACAAAAATAAGTTTAATGGCAATTTATTCACTTTGGTTTTTATAAGTGCTAAGCTATTCGCTATATATATGTGATATTGTTATCCATATAAATAAAACTTTATTGCTTAATGCTGTCGTTACGATAAGGCATGCTTACTTCGTATTTTTTATTCTTAAAAATTGCTGATTTCACCAGCGCCGTATTGGTTCAATTCTATACTTGGCCGTTTGTTGTTTCAAGTTACTTAATTCGAATCAAAATGATCAGTAAATCTGTAACTTTCAAGCCATTAATTCAGATGTACTGTGTGGACATAATAAAATTTTGGGAAAATACAGAATTGCTGGGGGCACCTAAAAGTTTAAACTTACAGAAACATTTCGTAATTGACAACTTATTTGGGGTCAGATCAAGTTCGTCCTACGATTTCCCGCCACCTTGCTCTATTCGTGGACTAACAGATACATTCATTAATAGGGCAGTTTTAATTTGGTCAGTCCATCTCATAATTACGTTGTTTAAGAAATATTGCCAACAGTCAATCCTAGCTGATATTGTTAATGCGAAAGTGAGTTTGTTTGTTACGCTTTCCTGCCTAAACCACTGACGGATTTGGATGAAATTCTAAACGCATATAGTTTATGACCTGGATTGAGACATAGGATACTTTCTATCCCGGAAAATTGTTAGGTGCCTGAGGGATTTGCAAAAAACTAAAGTTAACGCGGTCTAAGTAACGGGTGGTCGCTAGTAGTCGATATTTTTAAAAACAATGTGTTATAACTTATGCTACTCTATTAGTTTTATAATACTTATAAAGATAAACGTTTACAAAAACACATTATGATTGTTACATTTGCATGCTTTGATGCAACGACATATTAAATGTGAATCGTGAAGTCGTAGATTCCCTGTTTTGTTCTTGAACTTCTAAATATTTTTTAACTATCACGTTCACGGAGGTCGACCTGATAATGTAGGTATGCTCTATATCTTAGATGCCTATCGAATCAAAACCCACCCAGAATGGGCGGATGTAGGTACCTATAATTATTTAAATTTTTATTTTATCACAAAGCATGTTTCGGTTTCTTAAATTATATCACTGCAAATCCTATTGTTGAAGGAAAAATTACAGTTACGGTAACTTCAGTACTTTTTCCAGTTAAAAAATATTATTCAGTTGTCTATCTAGCCTCAGAATATAGAAGCTATTATGGAAAATAGGAATAAGTTTTAGGATAGCGACATGTAGGTATCTTTACAGCACCAGCTATCTTCACAACTGGACTCCATATATCAGAGGCCTGATTGTGAGTTTTAAACCCAGGGTTTATAATATCGTTGGAGATGCCACTCTATAATGCATATGTGATATCTCCTTTTAACAACAGAACTTCCTTGCTTCTTTAAAGAGTTTAGTTTAACCTTCTATGAAAACGTCTTTTCCCGGTACACACCCATAATTCATAGTTTTATACTAATATTGTAAATTCGGAAGTGTGTGTGTATTACTCTTTCTCTTCACACTTAAAGGGGATGAAAAGGGGTGTAGAAGTTTGAATGGGAAACACATTAAACCACACAGGCCAAGTCGCGGGCACCTACTAGTAAGTTCTAAGTAATATCTTTATATATATAATTCTTCTGTGAGTGTGTATGTCACTGAACTTCTCTTAAACGACTGAACCGATTTTGATGAAATTTTTTGTGTGTGTTCAAGGGGATCTGAGAATGGTTTAGATTCACAATTTTGTCCGCTGGACGACCCCTATTTTTTTAGGGCGGTACGAAGTTCGCTGGGTCAGCTAGTTATATATATACAAGTAATTCAATAATATTTCGTTTTGTTCTAGAAAACCATATTGGACAGTATATCACAAGATGACTCGTCGTTCACCGGCGATGGGTACACTTCACTGGCCATCATATACGCGACACTGGCTGTCTGCAACTGGATGGCACCCTCCATCATCACCATCACCGGACCTAGGGGGGCCATGATTATCGGGGCCCTTACTTATCTGTAAGTACTAGGTTCCAATAATTAATACATTTTTCCAGCTTTTTTTATGTTAAAAGGGTGGTAAACAAGTATAGGGCCAGCCTGAAAGTAAGCGTACACCTTAGTATCTCGTGATGCCAAAAATATCACTGACGCCGTTGCCTTCTCTGACCCAATCTTCTACCCCGTGAAGCCTTGTCTTTATTCTAAGTAGTCCATCATAAAACAACGAGCATGATTAGTAGTCCAGCATTAAATCAACGCTTCTAACGTTTTTGCAGTTGTAGAATTTGGTCAACGGATTGCAATGAAACGTATTGGAAAAACTAAAGCGCGATGCGTTGTTGTTCTAAAGCTTTCAAAAGTTTTTTGAAAACATTCAACAAAAACATATACATAAAAATTTGTTTCTGAAACATGTCTCTACACACGTTGTCTACTGCTCACGTGGCTGTCGTACACAAAATACACAGAGGGCTGTTCCAAACCTGCGATCCAGATGCATCAAATCTCAATTTTGACAAAAGTTTCGTACATTTTATGTCAATATTGAAACGTCAGAGTGGAAAGTTGTACATGGACCGTAGGTTTGTCAGAAAATGGACGGTGAAACAACACCATCCATGCCCCTCGACCCGCGCAGGGGTGATTTGTATAGGTACGTGTTTTCCATTGGATTCGGATAGCAAAAACTTTGTTGACAAATATATATATAGTGGAACAAAGTTTTGACGTGACAACGTCTTAAATTAGGTTGCGGCTGGGAGTCACTTATGAAAAAGTGTAACGCTCGGTAACGTTACGATGAGTCTCTCGTGTTAAGTTTAAGTTTACATGTACAATGTTTTAGTAAACAAAATATATTTCTATAGTTAAAATTTGTGCAATTCTTATTTTCATTCAATTCCTTGTTCCTATTGTGCAATTTAATTATATTCATATCAATAAATATTCTACCGAGAAAAAGACGTTGTCACGTAAAATCTTCGCCCGTAAAACCGACTTTACAGGCAACCATTTTTTTTATGTAGATAATTTTGTTGAATGTTGATGTTTTTGTTGATTGTGTTGATAGTCTGTTCCAAACAAATTTAGACCAAAGGTAAATAAAACACTTTACCTCCTGATTCCCACGCAATGACTCACTAAATTGATTTCTCAACATATTCATTTACATTTCTAGGGGTTTGACTTATTAATTCACTATCTTTTATAGCACTAATTTCTTTATAAATATCTGAAAAATTGAAAATAAAATCTTGATTATAAAGTAAAGTTATTTTGAAAGATAGGAATTGTCTGTTTTCTATGGTTGAACAGTGTTGCACCCAAAAGTCTATTCAAAATGATTTCAATAGACGTTAGTAATCGAATAGGGAACCGATTTATTTATTCAAACTGATAAGTAACTTAATGAATAATTCAGTTTATGGAACGTACTTTTTGTGTTATTGCAAATATGAGCAATTAAGTTGGTATTTTGTTTTTATCTTTAGATTTTATTATTAATTATTAATAACTTAAATCTTTATAACGGATTGCGTGGTATTTTAATTATTCGCTTATTGTTTAAAATTATTAATAAAATGTTAAAGTGGTTTAGTTTTGATTTACTTATAGCACAGACGCATATATAATTGACAAATATACATAGACATCCAATAAAGCACGCAAACCAATCGATTAAAATGAGTTTTATTATGTAACGAAATATAGTTAATCATATTGCCAAATACAGTTTATAGCCAGAGTTCTTAACACGCTTTTATTAGGTCGACTTGTATGTAACTAACTATGTAATAAATGCTAAGAATCGGAATTACACGCACTTCTAATCCTTGTATCACCATGAAATTGAAAAAATTATATGTAGATTAGATGACAATACAATATTATGGTACCATCGAGCTGGTCTGATGATGGGACTGGAAGGTGGCTGATGGAACCTTGGACTGCCTACTAGTAAACATATCGAGTATGGGCTCATTAGATTCGTCTTAACATTTTCTATTTATTTTTTTCTGATAACTGAAATTAAAAAGAGTAAATAGTAGACAAAAAATTTAAAAAATTAAAAGAGATTTAGTTTTTTAAATTTTTTGAGTAATGACCATAAAATTACAAATAAGAAATATTAATCCTACAAATTAAGCCTTATAGATCTTCAACAGTTTCTAAGAATTTGATCATTCAATTGATTAATTTATTTTGTTAAGGCTCTATGAATCTCCCATCACTAAACTGTCTATGGTCAGTTTTACCTACCTCTTTGTTTACTTGTGGTCTAAATTCGTTTGGAACAGACTATAGGGCAAAACAGACGCTGGAGACCCGGCTTTAGGAACAATGCTAAAACATGTGTACGCTCGCGTGTTGTTTGTATGAACAGCGACGGATTTTCACGGACGCACGTGGCGAACCTATTTTGGTAGCCACTTATTGATCATTTCAAGTTCATGATATGACACTCTGGGCGTCAGTTTCTACTTCCTTGGTGTATACCATTCACGCGATTGGTTAACGCTATCGGCAAAACAGAAACAAAAAATAAACAATGGAGAATCTTGAAACTTACTTCTAGTGATGCATAACGGATGTTAATTAAAATACTTGCCACGTACATTAAAAACAGTGTGTGAGGAACTAGTGCGTTCTACTGGGACTTTCCTCAAACATTATTGTAAGTCGTAAAATATAAAAATACATATAATGTAAAAATGTTGCGAACCTGGACAGAACAAGTACCATGGTTGAGAGAGTTTTCGATTCGAAAATGTGGTACCACTTATAAGCAATTTTTCACACTTATAAGCAGTTTGTTTTCTGGTTGCTGACCCAAAAGCTATTAGGTCCGTCTCCACTTGTTTCGATCAGTTTTTTTATCAGTTACTTAGTCTATTTATAAATTAGGCATCTATACTAAATTTATAAAGAGAGAAGATTTGATTGTTTGTTCGCTTGTTTTTATTGAATAGGCTCCGAAACTACTGGGCCGATAAAAAAAATACTTTCAGATTTAGAATCCTTCATTATCCGTGATGAACATAGGCTATAGTGTATTGTCAAAAAAGTATGGGGTTCCGTATGAAAACTTCGATAATGTAACCAAACTTATGTAATAAATAGCCTTATATCGCGTACGCTACGGAAGTCCTTGACGATAGAGCAAAGTGATGTGCTAAATTTTTATAGAGGACATCAATATCTACAAAAATATATCGCGATACCATATGTATATATCGCGATACCATATGTCCAACTATCACAGTTATGTCACGACTAGAGTCCCCTGCGGTTTCACCCGCGTTAATTTGATAAAAAAGGTTAAAGTGAGTCATACTTAAAATATGGACATAATGCTGTCGAGGAATTTTTTTACAGAACTTTTAAAGGGGAACAATTCCGTTACACATGATTTTTGTATAACTTTAACTGTTTACCCAGCGTACGCAACGGAATCTCACAAATGGAATATTTTTTTAGCCGTTTTTAAGTTACCTATAATTTATTAACAACTTGAAACTTAACAGAAAAAAATAACAACAAATGAAACAAGGAAATAACAATACTTTAACAAATATGATGGAATATGCACGCTCGCGTCAACAGTTTGATCGGAAGAGTAAAGATGGCTAACGTAAACCAACCGATTACAAAACACAACACTTCAACGTTAAATACTTATATCATGTCTACTCTTAAATTTTGTCGAATTATAATACGTCTTAAGTTTGGAAATGATTGTGTTTTTAGGTCTTTTTCCATGTCAACTTAAGTTGTTAAAATACTAAATATACGAATTTATGATGTGTACATACATTAAATATGTGTATAATATTTTATTTTCTTATTCATAAGTATGTACTCAGCTTTTAAAATAATTAACTTTAATGATGAATTTAATGATTTCCTGCATTTCCTATGTAAATAGTATTTAATCTTTACTTTTGCCAAACGTGACCTTATAAAGTATCCTTTTTATGGTTTGTTTACATTTTGTCTCACGCCAATGTGAATAGAATATAGTAAGATACAAAATAGCACTAAAAACCACATCAAAACACAGTATGTCTCAGAAACTAAATCAAAACACAGTATGAGACATGGGTGTTTCGTGGTTTTACTAGGTTTTGATATTGTTCCTGTGACATATTTGGTGTTGGGTTTGGTTTTACCGCTAAAATTGTGCGATCATATTGTTACAAAGTAACACTCACATTCAAAAGAAAACCAAACGGACGGTAAGTAGTTTGCCTTGTCTTTAATTTGTCGCGAGCACGTTGTGTTTTTGTTCCAAACCGGCTCATACTGCACTCTACTAAACTACACTAAACATTTAGTATTCTACTTAAATTTATATGATACAGAAATAGCACAGTACAGAGCAATTAAATAGGTAAACAAAAAGGCGCTCTTTTAACGGTAAATAGGATGAAAAAATAAAAATGGGCACTTAAAAGTGTCTGCATGTGTAAGCTGCAAGTTACTTATTGTTAAATTGAATGATAATTTATTTAGAAAAAAAAGATCAAATCCTAGTAACAGCTAGAATAAAAGATACTGTGCTTTGTGTTAGTTTTCAGTCCGGTACTAATCAGAAAGAACAAGGATTTGTTCCATCCTAGGTCAGAAATGTTTTGTTAGTATGTAAAAAATACTAAAAACAGTTATTTCTGCTCGTCCTGTTAAATTTTCCAAATGTGGCTTACTGTGTTTTGGTTTTGGGCAGCCGAACGGGTCCTAAACTACGTAATTATTTTTTTCTTGGCATGGAAGGTTTATAATGATAATAATACACTTTATTGTAGTACATCACATAGGATGCAAAAGAAACAGAATATACAATACACAATATAGGCAGTCTTATTGATACGCAGCAATCTCTTCCAGGCAACCCATAATAGAGAAATAAAAAAAATAAGTAGTACATAGAGGAGGGGTGTGACAGTAACAGTAAATAATGAGAAGGGAAACAGATACATCAGGGGATGAAACATAAGAGTGAAAGAAAAAGTTCAACT